AGGCCCTGACCCCAGTATACTCTTTAGTAGAGACACACTTTGTTTCCACAAAGGAGGGGGCTTTTCCTGCAGTTGCATCCAGACTTCAGAATGTCCTCCCTAATGAGCACATTTAGCATATTGATAACAGTTGCCCGCTTTGTAGTTTCACCAAACAATAAAAATAATTATTATTGAAGTACAATTTCAAAGGTTTATATAAGTAGGCAAGTTACTTTGCTTAATAATAACTAGGGATTTTCCTCAGTACGTCTTTAAATGACAGCTAAAAATGACAGCAGATGACATTGGTTGGAAGTTGGAAATGGCAAAATAATTATTTAAATGCAATTCCAGTGCAGAATCTCACGTAGGACATTTGCCCACCAAGTCTCAGGATGGCTTCCCAGAAATTCTGGGGTCAAGTTACATAAGCTATGAGGATGCATTGAGAAGGTAGGCTGAGTTTGGCCCATGCTTGTTGAATTGCTTGAGAATACAGCATCTGGCATGCAGCCAGGTGGTCATTCTGATTGCTTCACCATGTGTGCAGCTTGCGATTCAACCCACAGGCATGTGCAGGGTGGGCGTTTTAGTAACTGTTTTGCTTCCGTCTTTAAAAGCCAATGGAAGCCACAATTTCTGAAAGTGGATCAATGTGATTTAAAACAAATTCAGCTCTGGGGTTACATTATTTGAAGTTTAAACCGTACCGACTTCAGAACTTCTCATAAAATGTCTTATGTTTTTCTTCAGAAACACTGCAGTGAATTTTTTTACTGATGACAATGGCAGACTTCTGAATGGGTGACAAGCAGAACAATCCACACTCATATAATGCTGAGACCAGAGGCAGGCTGCCTCTATGTCAATGGAACAACCATTGGACTGAATGCATGCTCAGCCAGTGAGGGGAGGGGAAATATACAACCAGAATATGCAAAATGTTGCAGGAAAACTGAAGAAATACCCAGAGCAGCCTGGAAACTCCACTAGGGCCAACCAATAAGGTATTGTTTTTGTTCCACTACTTCCCTTATGCTGCCTGCATAGGGAAGGGACTGATGAACTCACCATGACAGGGACACCTATCCAAAACAAGTCACGGTGTATGTGGTAGGGGGCTGCAGCTGTGCTACTCTACCAGCTGCAGGGGTGCTGCCACTCTCCAGGACTGGTAGGGTGAAGGAGGGTCACGTGGCCAGCGTGACAAGCTGCATCTAGCGAGCCAGCGCAGCACACGGAACGTCGTTTACCTTCCCGCTAGTAAGCGGTCCCTATTTATCTACTTGCACCCGAGGGTGCTTTCGAACTGCTAGGTTGGCAGGCGCTGGGACCGAGCGACGGGAGCGCACCCCGCCGCGGGGATTCGAACCGCCGACCTTTCGATCGGCAAGCCCTAGGTGCTGAGGCTTTAACCCACAGCACCACCCGCTTAGGACATGCCAAATAATAATTACTGCGTATAGAGAGATTGACATAGAATCACATGGAATCACATAGAATCATAGAACTATAGAGCTGGAAGGGGCCTCCAGGGTCATCTAGACTAATACGGGAATATTTTGTCCAACATGGGGCTTGAACCAATGACTCTGAGAGTAAGAGTCTCATGCTTTACCCACTGACCTATCCCAGAATGGAGAATACCATTCCTTCACCTGTGAATAACTACAGTGAGTCTTCGCATTGTAATTGGGACTTTGGGCCAGGTATTCCTGAGCCAGTGCCTAATCTTTCAGACACTGACCACTCACTGTTTGTGAAACATTCTTTTAATTATTTAAGACGCTGATTTTGTAAGACACGCTTGATGATACACCGATTTTCACAAGCTGCCTTATGGCTGGGATATATATTGTTCTAGCAAATACGCACAATGGATTATGTTCTTAACTCTAATGCTCTAGCAGTCTGAATATAAAACGAATCCTCAATAAATGGTTTGCTGAAAGCAAGGGCAGCTAGCAAGGGATGCTACTTTATTTCCAATATTATGAACCCCTTAACTATTTCTAAGATCAAGTGAGGATTCATTTCTTTCATGAAATCAAAACTGGGTGGGGGGAGGCATGCTGTTTCTATGCTGGTCTGTTTCTTCCAAAAAACAAGCAATATCAATCTCCCTTAATCATGCTGCTTCATGCTCTGTTATTCTTTGCCTGTCTGCAGTTCACACACAGGAAAAGCTCATTGGTAAGTGTGGGGAGTGGCATGTTGCAGCACTTCCATTGCCAGAGAAACAGTGAAGGTGAATGACTGGGGCCTGCCTCTTGCCACAATAAATCTGTCTGCAGGGGAAAGGTGCAGCCTATGGTGTCAAGCTGCAGTCTGCAGCCCAGTTGTGTCAATGGACAAGAAAAGGTTTCTTTCGGACATGAGTCAGCAGGCTGCAGACTTCCTACCAGCAAACAGATACATTTGAAGTTAATAGGTTTCATTTAGGGTTATTGCTTTAAAAGTACTAATTTTCCCAGAGCAACAAAACAAAAATTTTAAAAATTGAAATGACAGCAGGTTCAGCTTGCACTAGCAATTTACAAAATATATTGTTGTGTGTGGAGATATGTGGGGCAGATCCATCTTCAGGTGGCTCTCTCCCTAGGAAATTAAAAACCTTTCCTTCCTGGTGCCCTAGACCATTTTTAGTAGACCTTAACAATTGTGGTGAGGGACGTGGGTGGCGCTGTGGGTAAAAGCCTCAGCGCCTAGGGCTTGCCGATCGAAAGGTCGGCGGTTCGAATCCCCGCAGCGGGGTGCGCTCCCGTTGCTCGGTCCCAGCGCCTGCCAACCTAGCAGTTCGAAAGCACCCCCGGGTGCAAGTAGATAAACAGGGACCGCTTTCTAGCGGGAAGGTAAACAGCGTTTCCGTGTGCGGCTCTGGCTCGCCAGAGCAGCGATGTCACGCTGGCCACGTGACCCGGAAGTGTCTTCGGACAGCGCTGGCTCCTGGCCTATAGAGTGAGATGGGCGCACAACCCCAGAGTCTGGCAAGACTGGCCCGTACGGGCAGGGGTACCTTTACCTTTACTTTAAGGGTAACTGTTGTTCATAAAAAGAGGTGCCAAGACTGAGCCTTCACTTAAAATAAACTTTGGAAATACAACATTCCCATCATAAAATCAAATCACCAAAAAGTTTATTTTGAAGAGACACCTCCTGTTTGACATAGTTATCCCTGAGTTGGATAGCCAGTATATGCCAGTATATAGCCAGGTTAGACTGAGTATCAGACTAGGATTGGAAAGACCCAGGTTTAGATTCCCACTTGGCCATGAAGCTCACTGGGATACCCTCCCTAACAAGGATGTTTTGAGGATAAAATGAGGAACGATGGGTGCTGCCTTGAACTTTTGGATAAAGACATTATTTGTAATGTCTGTACAAATAAAAGGAACAGCTCCCTCTGGAAAGGGTTCATTCCTAAGACAAATGCCATCAAGTCCCTTATTTTTTGTTTGATATTCCTAGAATCACACACTTTAAGCTAAATTAAGTATCAATGTTCATTTGTTAATCAAGGTTTTGTGTAAGCTTATTGGCTAGTATTGTCATATCCTGGGTGTTTGGGGAGAGTACTCGCTGTGTGAGGAAGTCTTACAATGCATCTGTCCAAAGACCAGGAGTTGAGAAAACTTCAGTAACTATACTTATCTGTGATCAACAATGCAACATAGTGGCTAGCAATTGCTACATAAATAAAACAGATGACCCAATCAGTTCCCATTTAGCTATTTGGGGGGGGGGACCACACCCAGGGAGGGAGGCTTCTTTTCAAGACTAGGCATGTCTCTTAAAGAGACAAGCAACACACACTACAAGTGTGTCCTCTTCTATTACACTGTAATAATTACCATGAGAGAAGTATCTTTTTTGCCAACTAAAGTTTCCATGCTGCTCTCACCAGAACACTTATTAATTGACATCACTGAATCAGCATAGCAATACTAAGGACACACAGGTAGGTACCAGTAGCTGCTGAACAGACAAGCATCATGGAAATGGCTATTTGGGAATATTACTGGGACATTATAAGGCAACCCCTTTGCTAATATTTAATCTATATCCACCTGGTAGGATTTTTGTTTTTTTGTAAACCACACATGAGTTGGGTATAAACCCTCAAATAAAGGCATACATATGTTGAAGGCACATATTCTGATATATGTGAATGTTGTGGGATAACCAGCCTCATATAATCAACATGCTTAAAACTAATTAATGCACGAAGGGGTTAATACCATAGAGTAAACTGTCCTGCCAGGCATAGCTATGGCCACTTCCCTTACCATGGGAGGAAATGGGTAATCAAACCTATTGTTCCTCAGTCTACCTGGGTTGCTCATCGTGTAAAGAAGTTTGAACTGGTTGTTCCAGCTCAAACTGCAAGGCTCTCAGTCTTGAATTCTTATACCAATAATTTAGGAACTTTCACCACTTTTTAACTAAGCCAAGTTTTACTGCCTGTGCAACTTTCTGAAGCACATGTACCTGATCTTTGAAGAGCTTGTAAGTAACCCCTTTTTAAACTTGCCAAACATGTTGTCTTTTTCTATGGTAGAGGAGAGAAACTTTGGAACTCCCTTTAAAGGGCATATTTTAAACATTTAACAGTTTATATTTCCATGCTTTACTTTGCTACATATTCTGCAATGTTCTGCTGGGGTTCTCTCACCAAAAAGTACTTTCTCCAAACTTGGATATAGGAATTCTTCCTTCTTTATTATTATTTTCGTTGAACCAATAAATGTATCTTTAAGATACCCATTTTCTGTTCATAGTAAATTTCTCTGGGTGTGCATATAGAAATATGTAATTTTATTTTTATGCTGCCTTGCCATAGTTCAAACCATGCTTGAGGCAGCATAACATGAAAAAATACATAATTACAACAAAAGTAGTCATAAGCAATAAACAAAACATAACAAATATACAACCAAACTGAACAATTTCCACATAAGATCTAAAATAAAGATACAAAAAATAATCAATGACAGCAACCATTCCACCCTAATCTCAACCCCTCTTAAACAATCCCCCAACCCAATAGCCTCAGCTTTGTAGCTGCAATCGGGGCCCCTGCTCTTCCAGGCCAGGTGAAAAAAGGCTTGCAAAACAGGAATTAGGTCTTCCAGAACTCGCATCCAAGATGCATGTCTCTGACTCTCTGGGTGTGCCAGGTTCATTCTCTTAGTCAACACAGCTAGGCTGCTTCATAACTGGCATAAAGGTTAGTGCTCTGTTAAATCTTTGTTGTGTCTTCCTGACTCTGACGATAGACTTCCTGTAAGCTGAGCTACATCAAAATTTATTACCCTTTGTCCAAACATAAGGCAGAATTATTATGCACATCATGGTCTCCTGTGGTGGGCAAAGACATGGATGGAATTATGATCTCTTTGATTGGACAGCCACATGCTTAAATATCCATACATGTAGAAATCTACAGGCCACGTGTAACTTAGCCGTTAACTTCTACATTACACAATTAGATGTCTAAGTGCATAAGCTGTGAAGTCTTTGTTTCAAATCTTATCTTGGCTATGCTCTTAAACAAAGGACACTATTTATCAGCCTCTCATCTGGAATATAGGGATGATAATATGGGCTTGCTGGCTGGGGACACTGGGATGGTGTATTTGAAACCTTAAGAGAAGTGCTGAAAATTGTTATGAGTTGTGGGTGGAAGACCCTCCAACCTCTACATTCAGTGTAGGGTTAGAATTTGAACAACCTCATAAACTCATGAATTTAGCAAGGGCTGGAAATAATACAGGCTAGCTTCCTCATGAGGCCAGCCTGGCATGGCTCGCTGAGGGTGGGTCATTGAAGAAACAAAAAGCTGACAATAGCCTAGTTTATTTAATAATGATAAGCCATTGACAAAATATAAGACCCCAGTAGTTTTGGGGTAGGATTATCTTTGCCTTTTGCAATCTTTTACAGAAGATGCCAGGGTGACCGGGATGTGTGTTTACTGGAAGTAGAAGGGGAGTAGTTGTTTTTCTGCAAATGTTTCTGGAAAGGAGGAGGAAGTGGGCAGAACTCCATGTGGGGACTGAGGGACAGCAGCCATACTGGCTGGCTTGAGCAGGCTATTAAAGAGAGACGGGTGTGTGTGCTTAGGATGCCCCAGAATCCAATGCTGCACTGCTGGAAAGCACAAGCCTCTCTTAGGATGTGAATGCCCCACAATCCCTCCATCTAGGTTCAGGTTGTATATATGTGTAAATAAAGCATATATCATAAAGACACCACTGCCTCTCTTGTGCCTCCTTGTCCCAAAAGGGAACACAGTTCCTGGTGTTCTTAAGGGGTAATTCTGAGGCCTAAGGGGGTTCTTTCTCACTATCTCTATCAATATAAATTTTAAGCCAAGCAGGAATTACATTTCTTTGTGTGTGTGTTTTTTTTGCATTATGCACATGTTTATGCCACTTGGCATGATGACTTTTTATTTTTAGACGTAGCTTCCTATAGAACAGACTGAACCCAAAATGAGTTCAGAAACACACCTGGATTTGCTCTACAGACCTGCATATAAATATCCAGTAAACTGATTACATTTGGAGACAATACACTTAAGAAAATATAATACCCTGTGCACTGGAGAAGCAGGTTAATATTAGCTGATTTATATAGCATACTAAATTGAAACAGCATTTCCCACAGACAAATAACAGGCATATGGAATAAGAGAAACAGTGAGGACATATTAGGGTAATTTTATACACACTAGGTTGTGTTGAATAAAATGTGCAGTAGTGGTGGCTGGTGCCCATTGATACAGTAGAGTGGAAAGCAGGGACACCAACAATAGGGGTGCATTCAGAAGGTTATAGCCATGATAGTTTTCCTGATTATTATGCTAGCACTTTTGTCCCAGTTTCAAATGCTCCTTTTAAAGTAGGCTACATTTGAGTCATGCAAGTCAGAGTTGTCTACACCCAGAAAGACCTCTCCATTCAGGCAAACAAGAGGCATTACCACAGTTCAAAGACACGTGTGGCCAGGCAAAAACACTTGAGGGGCATGGAGAAAGCCTGAAGAGCTCTATTCAGGTCCCCCAGGGCTGGAGATTCCCCACCCCTAGTCCTACTGAAGTTTGGTTTATCGTTGAAGTTGTTGTCCTTGGCTATGCTCCTCTTGGCTTGTGTCCTGGGAGAATATATAACACATTGCACAACTCTATAATTGTAGAAATACCCCCCTTTGCAACTAGGCAATAAAAGGTTTCTTTTTCTTTTTTAGGTGGCCAAAGTAACCAGGAAGTTAATGGCATTCTTTACATATAGCACTTTTTAATTGGCCAGGTGCAGAATGGGAGCTTTAAGTTTCCTTTGAGATACTGCCAAGGCAGAATATAAGAACAGATGAACCCATGATCTGTTCAGGTACGACAATTTTTAATGGTTTTTGTGTGCGTGCATAAAATCTGTCAGTGAATATATTTAGGAGTTAAGGAGTAGAAGTGTTGTTGAGTGTTTTGAAAGCAGAGGCAGATGGAAAGTGAATCTCGGAGGAACAGTTGTCATCTTTAAATTGGCAACACCACTGAGGAAACTGGAAGGATTGCAGGCTGAGGGGACAATTTTACCTGTGTTTCAGATCAGCTCTGCTCTTTCTATAGCCATGATGGCATTGTGAACATAATAGGACTGAGTTCATCCCAGGGTTGCGGGCAAAGATGACAGCATTGAAAATGAACCCAATAAAGTGAAGTTTCATTCTATTGAGAGCTGAGTGATTGCAGTTTGGGAGAAGAATTATGAGGTTTGTTTATTTTGGTGGCAGCGTAACTTCTTTTTTTCTTCTCCAACAGAAAAGCTTTGTTATAATTAAGCCAAGAGGGAGGATTCTGTTTTAGTGATGCAGAACTCAACACAGAGAGTTGATTTAGATTCCCTACAAGAAGGATTTGCTGCTGCTAGATCAGTTAACACTCTGCTCAGCAACCCTTCAAAGCAGAGATCAAACATCAATTTGTAAAATTAAGAAAAGTGGCATAGAAAGAAAACGTGTAAAGTTGCATGCAGGTGGGAAACCTTTTCTGTGTGTGTGAAATCAGTGCTATTGACCTTGGGCCACCTTTTGTGTTCTGACAACTGAGAGAGAATAGGGTTTCCAGTTTGATGTGCGGACAATGGTAAGTTATAATATTTATTCTTCTCCCATTAAAACTTTCATATTCTGATTCTGCACATGAAGCTGCTGTTAAAAACAAGCACCACACCATCCATACCACCCCGCTCATTTGTAAGTTTTAAGTAAGAAGTACATGAACTGGCTCTATGTGAACAGGCATTTATCATCACAATTGCAATATAAGAAATTAATCTCATTTTATACATTCATTTATTCATTCCTTACTGCATAACACAGTTCTTTGAAGAATCCAACCCTCAATTTAATTATACTGGATTGAAGGACACAAGGAGGGAGGTAGTCTCATATATAAAACACCAATAGTGCTATTCTCCCATCCAAATTTCTCAATAGTTAATAATACATGGCATACAAGGCAGCAACTCCAGAGACACCAGTGTGGCAACTGGAACATATATTTACAGCTGAGCTCCTCTGGTTCAGTGGCTATTATTATATTTGTACCTGAGAGACTTGAGCTGTAATCCAGCTCAGCAGCTGAGCAGACTTGAGAAAATCACTAAGAGTGTGATTCAACCAAAATAAAGCACTTCTAAGTATCACTGTTAATGTGATAGAGCTAAGCATGTGCTTACATTTGACTGAATAGTGTCCTGTGAATGTAATCCACAACTAACACCTCTGGAATAATCCTGGAGACTCCCATGGGAATTTCATGATACCTGGATGACAAGTCACACCTCAGTCTAAGTTCTCTATAAAACAAGGATGGAAAACAGAAAACAAGGATGGACAGCCAGAGGTTGTTGGACTCCAACTCCCATCAGCTCTAGCAAGCTTGGCAAAAGATCAGGGATGATAGGCATTGCAGTCTGGCAACAGCCAGATGGTCACAAGTTTCTCACTCCTGCTATAAACCATAAAAACTAATTATTGGGGATGTGTGCTAAGCTGCGTATTTAATTTGGACCCCAATTTGGTGCTTTGGAAAACAGCCTGTCTTGATCTGAAGTACTTTGTAGTCTGCTTGATTTGTTTAAAGGTCAACTTCAATTTGCTTCATTTCTCTTCCAAATCTTTATTTTTGTTTGCGGGGAAGTTATTCTATCAAAAGGGAGGAAGTTATTTTTGTTTAACTTCCTCACTTTTGACAGAAGTGGATGAAATTTGCAGGCATGTTATCCCCACCCAAACAGATAAATTAAAGGCAGATAGGTCCAGGGATATTTGTAGTGTGTGTGTGTGTGTGTGTGTGTGTGTGTGTTGTAAAAAGGACAGAATAATCTGAAATTTGCAACAAGTTTCCACTTCTGAGGGCATATAGCCTACCAAATTTCAGAAGGTCCCCCATTGGTTTTCCCATAACGGGCAGCCATTCCTTCATTTCCCCACCCCCATTAACTATTAGGAAATTTTCAAATGGCCATAACTCCACTCCAATCTTTTGATAGAAGTGGGTGAAATTGGAATTTAAATATTTCCTTTTCAGAACACAGAGAAGGACATGCTTGTGAAAATAGAAGAGGTGGGGAAAGTGTCCAATCATTTATAGTATTCTACATTTTGTGGGGCAGAGATCGAAATAGCAAGATTGGAATTACATGTCTTGGCAGCCTCAGACAGAAGAAGAGGAATCATCGAACTGTAGAGTTGTAAGGTATCACAAAGGTCATCTAGTCCAACCTCATGCAATACAGCAATATTTGGCCTAATATGGGGCTTGAACCCACAATCCTGAGATTAAGAGTCGCATGCTCTACCAGCTGAGCTACCAAGGAAGGAAGAAAAGGAGCAGGTGGGGATAGGGGCTGTAAGAATGGCACCCAAAGGTAGAGGAGTGAGGTGACCCTGGATGTCAGGCAGTGGGAAGAAGAGATGCTCTCTCCTCTGCCCTTCCTGTGGACTGAGATTCACATCAAGGAGGTGGGAGGACTTTGACCAGCCAGAGGGAAGGGCTGAACAGGAGGCTGTCTTGTTCCTCTGCCTGCCTCTAAGTGGTAGGGAGGCTACTACTGCAGATTTGCCTCACTTGGCAACCCATCCCTGCCTCTGTCTAATGTATTTTTCATACTTTACAGTTAAAAGAAACAAAACCATTGATACCCTGCTGCTTTGTGGTTTGGTTTGAAATTTTATAAATACAGTGGTACCTCAGGTTAAGTACTTAATTCGTTCCGGAGGTCCGTTCTTAACCTGAAAATGTTCTTAACCTGAAGCACCACTTTAGCTAATGGGGCCTCCTGCTGCTGCCGCACTGCCGGAACACGATTTCTGTTCTCATCCTGAAGCAAAGTTCTTAACCCGAGGTACTATTTCTGGGTTAGCGGAGTCTGTAACCTGAAGCGTATGTAACCCAAGGTACCACTGTACTGTTACAGCTGTAGTTACAGCACCCAAACAATGTTATCTCTGTCCACAGACAGTGATGCTTTAGGAGACAAGAACAGGATGAAGGTTACTGTAATCCTAGATAAATAGGATCTATATGAATAGATAATGGGATTAAAAACACAATGCTAAACTCGTTTACTTGGAAATAAGTACCACTGAGTTCAGAGGGGCTTACTCCCCAGCAAGTATGCATTGGATAGCTGTTAAACTACAAAACTGCATATCTTTCTGTCATGAAACAAAAACAACAAAAAATGCTGAGTATACTATGACAATTAGTGCTCCCATCAGAGAAAGCACAGATTTTGTTGTAGAGGAAATCAACATTCTCTTATAAACTGCACTTAATATTCTGTTTGGGCACCTATTTGACTAAAATAATAAAACAAACAAACAAACAAAAACCATTTAGTGTAGGCCTGGAAATGCAGGCATAAAAGGAAATCCTCACCAGGGGATTAATTTATTATTATTGGTGGTGGTTCTACTGTTATTTTGTAAATTAAGGGACAGCAACAGGAAGTGAGATAAAGCACAGTGTCTTGGTTCATGAGCAGTAACAAGTAAGAACGCATTAAATATTATTTTTTAACATTTTATCTCAGAAGTTACTGGAAATGTACACACATGAATAAGACTAAACAAGACATGTAAAAACATGCTTTGGAAACCTTGATTACATTATCAGAGATTGTGTCATCCTCTTTTTCAGGGCTGCATTGGAATGAGGTCCAATAAGAAAATGGTTTATGTGAATTCATAATGTGGCATTGAGAACACTTGCTGCTCAGTTTTAAGGAACTAAAAACATCTGAATGACCTAACAATCACTACACCACTTCACTGGAGTAATAACCCCCTTTCTAGAAGTTAACAGAAGTGATAATATTTTATGTCTCAGTGTTTATTCTTGAGATCGGACATCATGTCAGCTTTGACTTTAAAGTAAAATCTCTCACCAAGCAGCATACCAATTTAACCTCAAGTAAATTTGATTTAACAACATGCTACAAAGAGGTCAATGGTGAATGAACATCCAGATGAAATATGAGCAACAACAGAAGCAATGGGGGGGGGGGGAGCTTTGCTGCAGAGTATTTTCATGGCTCTCTTGGTACCGGTATATTACTCTGAATAATTTGATCAGATTTCCTTCCTACTCTGTTTCTGTCATTGGTAGAATACACCTAGTGATTAGAACACTTGAATTTTATCTAATATTCTGAGATTGGGAAGCAGCATCAAATCACGATTTACAATCACAAAATACTATATAAACTTCAGCAAGGGCATTGCCAACCTTTTTGGACAAATATAGCCAGTGGTGGATTTATAAAGGTGTGGGCAGTTCCCCCCACCGCCCCGGGTGCTGAGCCGAGGAGGCACAAGATAATGAGGAATTAAAAAGGAATAATGAATTAAAAAGGAATTACAGTGGTACCTCGGGTCACAGACACTTCAGGTTACAGACGCTTCAGGTTACAGACTCTGCTAACCCAGAAATAGTACCTCAGGTTAAAAACTTTGCTTCAGGATTAGAACAGAAATCGTGCGGCGGTGGCGTGGCTGCAGCAGTGGGAGGCCCCATTAGCTAAAGTGGTGCCTCAGGTTAAGAACAGTTTCAGGTGAAGAACGGACCTCCAGAACGAATTAAGTTCTTAACCCGAGGTACCACTGTATTGTGAAAATAAGACAGGGGGCGGGGGGGATTTGTCCTCACTCAGGGAGCTGTTTTACCAAAATTTGCCGTGGCAGGTAACCTTGTGTGTAGCGTTGTGGCAAGCCAATGAACTGTGATATGGAGCATCAGCCTAGATGAACAGGGGTTGTCAACCTGCTGCCCATAGTCACCAGTACTCCCTCTGACATCCATGGAAAGTTTCAGCAATATCCACTCAGAAATCCACCATATATGAGATGTGGGAGACCATCTGCACCATTTCAGTCTCTTTTTATGCTATTTTCAATGTGGCAGTCACACACAACACAGCAGCCATTTTGTGCCAGGTGCCAATAGCACTATCTCAAAATTCCAAGTGTGCCTGCTGCCAGGGAGCTGAAAAGCACTCTACTAATACTATTTTCTGGTCTCAGCTCTGTAGGTAGGACCATAACCACTCTAACAAAGTGTCCCCACACAGCTGGTTCAGGAGTATCTCATAGTGGTAACAAAAGGTGTAGGGAACAAGAAGATGGAATAAGGTTGCATGCTGCTGATCCCACTCTAAACAAAAGGGAATCCATCAGGACAAGCAAGCCTGATTCAGTTCCCTGACCAAGCCTGAAACAAAACTGGAATGAGTCTAGATAATCCATATCATCTACAGAAGTCTGCAGTTGCCCCACCTTGACCCTCTCTACCAACTTCAGTTAAAGGGGGGGGGGTCTCACAGGCAAAGCACCAAGTGCAGACCCTCTAAGCCCATCCCAAGATCGAGTCTGGACTGGTGCTGTCTGGGTGAGCACATCTGGGTTCGGTTAGATGCACTTAGTTCACCCACTGAGGTTTCACCAGTTCAGTTCTTTCTTCATTCATGATCAAATTGCGGATCACCATGGTCTTATTTTGGACTGGCCTGATGTTATGTAACAGCACTGCCAGACTGGTGGGCTCAGTGGATAAACGAATAGGTTTTTCAATACTGGGAGACTGAATTGTTAATAATTGTAGGAGATGCCACCTACCTTCCTGAGGCTGCATGGGACAGAAGAACCGCTGGTTGTTGTTTGTGTCAAGATGGCTGACTGCTGTTAGAGGTTCTGACTTTGATTGTGTTCTATATTAAAATAAATGGTTAAGTCTTGTTAGAAAGTAGCAGTATATGTTCTTCCTGGAAGCCTGGAAGCTCCTGACTTTCTACCACAGTAGCTACCACAGTGATGCTTCAAAGAAGTATTTCAAAGGACAATGCCATGTGTTTGCAAGAGAAAGCTATAATGGAGGTAGAAAAACAGGAGCTTAGTTAGAATTTCTTCCTGTGCTTTAGTTCCCGTTTTCCTTCTTGCACTTTAGCTTTTTCTTGCTGTTCCAACAGTATGACATACACGTTAGAATTATATTTTGACTATGCCCCCAAATGTTTGACATTTTAAATGTTAATCTGCACAGTAATCAAGACAGGGTATTTTATTTGTCAAAATACCTACCTTAAACTTCAAAGGTTTTGCCTCTAAATACCGAAGCAATCAGTGCACACATTAAATAAAGGTCAAAAGCTAGGTTTACCATAGGCATTTATATTGCACCATAAATTCATTTCACAAACTATGATATACATTAGGTGGTTAACCTGGGGCCCTGGATCTTGCAGTCCTTGCAAAACAAATGGTAAAGAGTTTATTGAGAAAAAGGTAGTGGAAAACTTCTTTGCAGGTGGCAACAGTGTTGAGATGTATGAAGAGGAAGTAAAAGCAGAACATATCTTTTCAACACAGTTTAAATGGCAGCAAAAGAAAATGCCATTTGTGTCATAAAACAATTAAATGTTGCATGACATTTTGTAGAAGGCAAGGTTCATCATGATAAATTCAGTGTAATGGAATCCACAGAACTCTACAAAGGTCATTGGGTATAGTCAACTCTCTGCACTGACAGGCTTCCATAGACTTAAATAATCTATGATCAAATTCAAATGTTTTGTTTTCAACACAACTGCTGCCCCTAACCACAGCCCCTTGAGTAGGGATCTATATGCTTCCATGAATGGTTAGATGTTATTGCTTCAGAGACCACCAGATTTGGCTTTGGAGTTATTATACTTTGTCCAAACATCAACAGAACCATTGTGTTGTAGTGGATAGACTCGGACTGGAGAGTGTTGGAATGTGTTAGATTCAAGGTCAGCCAAGAAGCTCACTGGGTGACTTTGAGCAAATCATTCCCTTTTATCCTGACCTAACCAGCTTCACAGGTTAGTTGCATGAAGTTAAAATGTAGATAGGGGATAGGGATAGGGGAAAATCTCCAGTTACTCTGCAGTATTCTTTGGCATGTATTGAAATTAGAATACTGTATATTGCTTGCTGTTGCATCTTTCTATGTATCAAATGAACTGCTCAAGCTACATCACTACTAATGGATGGGTGCACTGCTCACTTCAGTGTTGATCGGCTACTATTTAATGAAGACTAACTTATGAAAAATTTATTCCAGAGTGCTCAGTTTATTGATGAAATGTGTACAAAGCCAGGTTGTAAGGAGCAGCTTTTTTAAAAATAGTTTTCTATAAGTAGTTTACTTTTCATTTAAGGTCTTAATGGAATACAGCCATTTACTTCAGCTGTTCAAAGGCACGGGTTGATGGGACATACTAAATAAGGAACAGTGAAGACAACAGGAACAGTGTAGGTTACAAAATTTGAAGCAGAGTTGAAAGCTATGTCAATATGTTATCAAACTGCAGAATAAGATCATCATGAAGAGGAGAAACCAGAGTTCTAAAGAACATCAGAAACCATAAAAGGGGAGCGGGGATAAAAGTTACAATTTTTGTAAACCACTTTGAGTTTTTGTTTTTTACAATCAAGCAGTGTATTAATTTTATGAAATAAATTAAAAATATGTTTTGCAGCCATCAAGTTCTGTAGCATTACTTAGCTGCTTTGTTCATTAATCAGAATCTATCGACAGCTCCAACTCTCCATCACAACCAGCAAGAGAGGAAGCAAAAACTTGCAAGCAGCCATAAACTGGAAGATTGGCTTTCCAAGGCTTCTAGTACAGCACATGGAACTTTCCCTAACAGTGTGGTATTAGTCCTCAGAATGTCTGCATGCCATTAGAAACTGATAAAGATTTGGCTCCTTTTCAAGCTGCTGAAAAGCTCAAGATCAATATCTTATGGTTTATCTGAAGGTGATTAAAACAAATAAGCCTTATGCAGCACTTTTTATTGATCTCCTTCAGGCCCTTCAATCAACATCACCGAGAAAAACGGTTAAGAGCTTGTGAGATACATTAATATTCTGGAAAGACAGTGTTATTGTTAAAGAGTTCAGTCAGTGGCAAGATCTCCTATTTTCATAGCGGAATGGCAGGCTGTTCTTTGTTGCTCTCCTTGAATTTGATTTGAGTGGGATCGCAACTGTAAAAGTGTCGTTGGCAGTGGGGTAAACAGAATTTTGCTTTGGGAGCTAACAGACATCTAATTACTTCAGGTAGCAAATCTGCCCTTGAAACCAGTGTGTTATAATGCGTGATTTGGAGAATGTGGAGAGAGACAATATTTTCTCTGCACTCTTGTAATGGTAGAATTCAGGGTTACACAAGGACTGCTTCCCTCTTCCCCTGATGTGCAGCGATTGCGGCCCGATGCAGAGGTCGCAGTGACTCTGGGGGTGGGGTGGGGGTGCTGGTTTCCCGTGGGACCAGGAAGGATGTTATTTCCTCCTCCAGTGGTCACAGGGGCTTCCATTGACTCATCCATGGTTCTGATTACCGTAATCACAGGCGGGCCAGGGGGAGATCACCTCAATATGGTATATGTAAGGAAGATAATGGAAGACTGATGAAGAACCCTGCATGACAGGCAGGGAAGGGAAGAACTCCCAGGCTGGGAGGCTGGGAGTACAAATGGAAGCTCCCAAGTTGAGAGCTGGAAGGGTCTACCCCCTTTTGTGTGAGACAAGAGTTAAGATCTACCCCAATACAGGGCTCTGTATATTATTTCTCTCTCTCTCTCTCTCTCTCTTTCCCCTCCTATTTTCTTTCTTTCTTTCTTTCTTTCTTTCTTTCTTTCTTTCTTTCTTTCTTTCTTTGTTCCCCCCCTTCATTCTCTATTTTTATTTCGATTTCTTTGGATTTTATTGTATCATATGTTCAAAGCTTTCAATAAAAAAATCAGATTAAAAAAAGAAAAGATATACACCAAGAGGTGATCCTTAACCTGGGATTAACCCTGCTCAGTAATCAACCAGAAGTCGGGTTGGGTGATTCTGGATATACAACCATTGCCTATGCCAAGAGTTTCTTACATTTGTAATCAATAAAGTTGTAGCCTATTTTATCCCAAAGCGATTGCCCTGTGACTATTTCATCTTCCCATGTTAGCCCCCAACTGCTTGCAGCCTCACTGCGCCTGAGCCCTCAATGAAATCAACTGGAACAGATAATAGACAAGATGGATAAAATAAAATAACCGAATGGAGCGTGTCCAGAAGAGGGTGACCAAGATGGTGAGACTGTGTCTCTAGGTATGAAGGGAAAGGAGGGGAATAGGAATGGAAGCAGGTCCTTTTTATGTGCCCCTGCCCATGGATGCCCAACAGTGGGGTAACTGGATGCCCCACTACAGGAACCTTTGCTCTGATCCAGTTTCTTTCTGTAGCCTTGAGTGTAAGTAAATAACAACATGCACAAGGAACAATACTTTCATGTCCTTTCTCTCTGACTAAATCATTCATTGTTATGACCCTACATAGAAAACAGTAACTCACGTCATAGATGAATTCTGACTACAGCAAATTGTTTTTGTTTAGCTAGGAAGCGACAGTCAAGCTATCAATCCCAACAAACCCACTCTTCTAGTAACGTAAGTTGAGTTTTGGCTATCAAATACAACCACCTAGGCACCTCTCTATATAATGGTGGAATGACCGTGAGCAAGCAGTGACTATTGCTTAAGCAGGAATACAGAACCATGGACCTTTCATCCTCCAGGAACAACTGATACCAAGTTCCTAAAACAAACCAACCGAGTTTCACTGTTACACTTAACACAGGCCAGTGACCATAAACCCTGAAAAGGATGAAGAGCAATGAGTTCAGTTCTTATTTAGAGAGTTTTCTGAATGCCACCTAAATTCCACTGCTGATTTTGAAGCAAATGGGTTAGTGGAATTGTAACTAGAGACTGAGAAACATGATTAGTGAAGAAATCTATCGTTGGAGGAACATACATTATTCACTACAGTGTCACACCTTTTAGAAACTGAGAGAACTGAAGTAACAAGATAGTAAACAGCAGTGTAGAATCACCAGACATGGGTAGCAAAAGCAGAGAAATACAATCTGTGGGCAGAGATGTGCCAATTAACCATCTCCCTTGTGAATTTTTAAAAGTACCCTTGCTATACTTATTTGAAAGTTCCTCAAAAATTCCTGCAGGTGTTTCATCTGAGTAGTACCCTTCAAATCCACAAACTGAATTTTATGTTAGGTAAAATTCAGAGGCCTTTCTCCTTGCAGGCTTATGTTTATACCAGTTACACGGGAACCTTTGGGACTGCAACTCCCATAATCCCTGACTACTGGTAATGCTGCCTGGGGCTGATGGGAGTTTGAGTCCAACAACATAGGGAGGACCACAGTTTCCCCACACAGTTTCCCCACTCACCTGATGTATACCTTCCTTCCTTCCTTCTCCTAATATACTTATTTATTATTTATTTCAACTGTTTCTAAGTAGTGCACATAAAGATTGCAAAAAGCATACAGTACATAAGATCAATTAACCAAAAGAAATTAACCAAAAGAACATAATTACCTCAATTTACGCCATGTCTTTCTGATACAGGACAGAAAGGGTTGTAAAAAAAACTAGCAAAAGAAATGGACCTAGCCATCTCTGTGGCTCACTGTAGATTTGGAGGTGAGCAATGTGACTTAAGTCAGGGAATAGGCATTGAGCTACACCCCTGTCACCAATGTCATGGCTCTGCTCCAAATCTACCACCAAACTAGCTTTCATGTTGCATTGTGTTGACACCAAGATGAATAGATTTTGTCTTGAGCTCCCTGACCTATTAAAAATAACAATGGGCTTTGATGCTGGAGCTGCCCCAAACTGCCTTTGGCTCCAACCCAGACCTGCTCTGCTTTCTACAGCCTGACCCAGACAGTTCTACCTGCAGGCCTCACCCATGTACCCAATGAAGATCTTATCTCAAGGCATAACAGGCAGCATGTTAAGTAAAAGTCACTTCTGAGTCTGCACAGCATGATTCTGAACACAGAACTGTAGAAATAGTCACAGGCAGCCTTTACAGTTCATGGGCTTTCCTAGGAGTTTGTTTGCAGTTAATGTATATATGATGCTGTAATGCTTGTGAAGCACCACATAATTCAATTATCAGCATGCTTCTGCCGAAGGTACTTCTGAGAGACAGTGCCACCTTCAGTCTTAATAAACAATACTACCAAAGGAGACTGCAGTTTTATGCCCACTTTCTTTAGAGAAAGGACTTGCAGAGGACTGTACTGTACAAAAGGGGAAGATAATAAGTAATAAAAATAGTAAAGGTAAAGGTAAAGGTACCCCTGCCCGTACAGGCCAGTCTTGACAGACTCTGGGGTTGTGCGCCCATCTCACTCAAGAGGCCGGGGGCCAGCGCTGTCCGCAGACACTTCCGGGTCACATGGCCAGCGTGACATCGCTGTTCTGGTGAGCCAGAGCCGCACACGGAACGCCGTTTACCTTCCCGCTAGTAAGCGGTCCCTATTTATCTACTTGCGCCCGGGGGTGCTTTCGAACTGCTAGGTTGGCAGGCGCTGGGACCGAACAACGGGAGCGCACCCCGCCGCAGGGATTCGAACCGCCGACCTTTCGATCGGCAAGCCCTAGGCGCTGAGGCTTTTACCCACAGCGCCACCCGCGTCCCTAAGTAATAAAAATAAAGACAATAAATAATGCATTGGGGCAAAAGGAGGGGAAAACTCAGATGGTCTTTGTGGAAGATAGAGGTTAGTGTAGACACAGCCTTCCAGTGGTTTGGAAGAGAACAGACGCCCATTTAAAATCTGAATTCTGTCCTCTCCCCCTGCCAGGGGTGCCAACTTGAATAAAATATTGGGGGGGGGGATAAGCCCTGCCCCACATAATCGATGACAAGACATGGTGCGCACACAGTCTTTGAATAGCAATGCCCATCCTATAGTCTTCTAATAGGATTCTCACAAAAGGGAAAGCATCTGGTTGGCCACTGTAAGAACAGGATTCTGGACTAGATGGGCCATTTTGCTCTGACCTGCAGGGCTCTTCTTATGCTCTCAAGTGGCCAAACCCACTGTGCCCCTGCAGCCCCCCAATGTAAATTGATTGCTTCTTTCCTCTTCAATTTGGCTCAAAGAGTGAATTTTCTATTACTGTTGCCTCACAGTAGAATTCTTGGCTAATAAAAGCCAAAATGAGGAAGTACTAGACCTATGGTTCAGGATCATTAATAACTCAGGAAGTGCCTTGGCTATGCGGCTTAATATATTGGAACGACTCACATTAATAAATTTTACTTAAAATAATTTGCTTCTTGTGGCACCCTTTTTGGCCCATGATCTCCCGAGTGCTTTGCAAGCAGAAAGCCAAAGAACAGAAAAGTATTAGGCATAAAGTGAATAATGAACCCTTCTCCCATTTTCTTTAGATGGGATGGGAAAAAAATTAACAAGCAATTTACACTGATGTAGACCCATGAACTTTAATGGGTAACATCAGTGCCAATGCCCAATCAACCCTCCTCCCAAATGATTAACATTTCCCATGCTTCACGGGCAGATATTAATACCAAGGATTTCATTTTTAGCTCCCTTTTAAACTGGAGTAAATCCTGACTATAGTATGGTAGGTATACTACAAGGATAGTAAACCTGTGGTCTTCATATGCTCCTGGACTACATCTCCCATCATTCCTGATCTTTGGCCATACAGTCTGGTGCTGATGTGAGTTGGAGTCCAACATCTGGAGGTGCACAGGTTCCTCATCCCTGAGGAACTAGCTGTATGTATATTTGCTAATTCCATAAGAGCTATTGAAAACTTGGAGTTGTCTATTTGATCCTGAATGATCCAAATCAGGTTTGATACATCAGATAAGTCTGCACAAGACACAGATATATATCTTATGGAAACCAGCAGTAATCGACAAGGTGATAGGTATAAAGGCAGTGGCTCTCATTTGGTTAGAACTACTACTACTACCGCTACCGCTACTACTAGACTCAGGATACTGACCATTTCCATCCCAAGATCTGGTTCAGCAGCAGATGTGTTGTTCTTTTCCTTTAAACCGAAGCATGAATTGTGTGCGCATAGTTTCAAATTACAGTGATCTGCTGCAATCTTGGTAGCTGCTGAGTCAGGTATATATTGCATCCATCACGTCTCGAGGAAGCTGCTCTCTGCAGTATATCCCACAGTGTGATTGACTGGTGGATTGATTGAATGACCCCGTCTCACTGTTTCCACTTAACCTCAGCAAAAGTTTGGGTTGTGGGGAAGTAGAGACATGCATTTCACTTTTATTTTCTTTTTGATCAACTGCATCATAGCTTCAAGCCATTTCTGTCAGACACATGGATGCTGTAGATATTATCTTAGGTAAAGAAATAAGTAGGCAAGCCTATCAAACAGGACTGTCTGCTCCCCAGTGTGTGATTGATGTATATTGTTTTCCTAAAAAAGAAAAAGAAAAGATAAGTTGGAGCTACTTTTATAGACTATTTTGTTGTCTGATGGACATAACTCCTATTTAGAAATTTTTCAAACACTGAAGAAAAAATACTAATAGCATTTTAATGGGAAAACAAATCAGATATACAAAGAGGTATTATTAACCTGAACACAGTGGTGCTTACTGGAGCATATGATGTTCCTCTTTTTAAAATGATGTGGAAATTGTAAATGTTACTGACATTGTGTGGAGATGCAATCACACTGCTAAGCTTTCAAACCTACCTATATTCATGATACCATACCCTGTGAATTGCTTTATTAATATGCATTTTTCACTTGGAGTCTGCTAAGTGTCACAGATCAGAACTCATTTTTCTATGGGAATAGCGACAACAATCTAGCTCACATAATACCAAACTGTTTCTGAGGGCTGTGTGGCACAAGATGAACTGCCTTCAGAGCGAAAGGCAGCAGAGTGAAGCAACCTACCTCATCCATGATGATGGATTGATGAAGTTAGAAATCGGTGGTGTTCTAAGGATGCTGGAAGACTTTTGCAAGTTTGGCCCTAGTAAGGAAGGGGAGCAGTAGTGGTAGCATGAAATTGGCCTCCATTTCAGGAAGCAAAACATCTCTGGATAGCACTGCCTCCCTTTGTATAGGGGGCATAAATCTGTGAGGAACACACCCAAATTTATTTCACAGCGAGCCCATTGCTCTACCACACTTGCTTGGGCCACATGTCTCTTTTCTAGCCTCAAAATCTACTCTTCTATGTCCCGGGAACACAAATGCTTAAGTTCAAAAGACTGAGAAAAATTTAAACTGAGCTCTTGGAGGGAGTTCCCCCTTCTATGGCCCTGACTCTATTCTTCCTGTCAGGAGCACAGGAGCAAGGCACAACATACTTAAGAAACTTTATGATAGATAATGAAGTGCCTTCATAAAGTACTTGGGAGAGAGCAGAGGCGCCGAGTTCCACCCAACATTGGAGGGCGTATTGTTCATGTGTGGCATCACACTCATTGCAGCACATGCCACCAGGCCCAGTCAGGCCCGTCACCACCACTGCGAGGCCTGGCGAGGCTCACCACTACCTGTGAAGCCTGCCGCCGTGAGGCCTGTGAGGCCCAGTGAGGCTTAGCCCTGGGAGGGCTTAGCTCTGTCCCAACAGACTTTATTTGGGGTGGGTGCGTGAAGACACCTCAGCCCTATGGGAGAAAGCAACAGAGATGAGGCTTATAGAAGGAAAGGTGTGTTATTGAAAGAGTAAACACAGTAAGTAAAACTATACCTACTATTTCTCACAGGCCTGTGCAAGAAGGGGTGGGTGCAGCTGGGCCTGCTTGCACTGGGTCTTAGAGATCGAAGCTGTCTGGGGGGCCCTGCTATCTTATGTTAACTGGACTGGCTGCTTTTTTATTTGAGTTAATAACTTTGTTCTAACAAGACTCCTGTCCTGGGCCTCTGCATGGGCCTGCTCTCTCAGAGCAGTTATCGTCTGAGGAAACCCAGGCTAGTACAGTGGTTCCTCAAGTTAAGTACTTAATTGTTCTGGAGGTCTGTACTTAACCTGAAACTGTTCTTAACCTGAAGCACCACTTTAGCTAATGGGACCTGCTGCCGCTGTGCCGCTGGAGCACAATTTCTGTTCTCATCCTGAAGCAAAGTTCTTAACCTGAAGCACTATTTCTGGGTTAGTGGAGTCTGTAACCTGAAGCGTATATAACCTGAGATACCACTGTACTTGAAGGCTGACATGTGTAGAAAAGGAGAAGATGAGGTAGGTCTATCCTTCTAGACCTGGAGCAGAGAACCTTTTTTCAGGGCTGCATTTGCTTCTGTGCAACATTCTGGGGTCTACCTGCTAGGGGTGAGTAGGACCAGAGACAAAAAAAAAAAAAAAGGGAGTGAAACAGCAAATGCACTGTATTTACTCGAATCACACAACCCCCTGCTGGGTTCTTAATATCCAGTGAATCGATAGCAGGAGCCCACTTCATGCATTTAGCCTGGGCACATGAGGGTTGGGTGTTGGCTCCAGTGTTGCCAGATGTGACACCTCCACTTTTGACCTACATGTATTTAGTGCAAAAAGTCTGAAAGGAGGGGGGTTGCAAGTGTGTTTGCCTGAATATGTTTACAAGTTGCTTTTTAAAGTGGGAACACTGATAGCGCTAAACATGATAAGGCTGGGGTAGAGTGAGTATTCCTGATGTTGTCAGACATTGAGGTGTGTGGCTCGTGTGTGCCCCCATCTTTTCTCATCACATGTTAAACCTGAATGCTCCAAAAGGGCAAGAATGTTCCCTTGATTTTGCATGTGTCCAATTGACGCGTGATCGTGATGGGGGAGTCCTTTTAGACCCGAAAGAGGGCAGAATGGGGCGTTGGCTTATGTGCACTCTGCCTATGTGTGCGGGGACCAGCAAAGCAACCCTCACGAGAAATGGTCGCTGCCTGTATTTTGTTTCAGTGGGAAGTGAAAACGCATTTTGCCCTAATTAACATTGTCAGATAAAATGGAAGCCTGTAAGACAAAGATGGTAATGTAGGAACCCAAAATGAAGGTGGGCTGATGCCTTTTAGCAACAACATACTGTGGAATCCTGCTGCCATGTGGCACTTTCTACCATATGTACAAACAACTAGCTTGTCACACATGGTGATGTTCACCCAATTAGCTACTTAGAAATAATAGGTGCCTCATACATTGTTTATGAATGAAGCAAGTTTGATGACAGAGCTTCAAGTGCAGCTTATCTGCCTCAGTGGAATGGAAGTTTCCCAGTATCTGGGAGTAACCTATTGAGAACTGAATGTGAGGAATTTCACCTATGTGTTTATGCCCTAATGTACAGGATTTTACTTGGGTCTTCTAAAAGTTTCTCCATCTTGTCGGAATACGCTTCCAATGAGCCAGGTTCCAAACTAGAGTTAAAATAAAGGATTTCCTTTCAATTTGGCTGTCAGATTTTTCAGACTGCCTGTATTTTCAGTTCTATGTTGCTAATCCCTTGACTAGGTAATATTAAAGCTTGTCAGATGTATTTGAATGCAGATTTAAAAGCCCATGGCCAAGACATCTCATAATCTCATCCTTTACATTTTTGAAGTCTGTATATATTACTTAGGCATTCTGCTAGTTCTCTTACTGGATTTGAGGGGAGGCAGGGATGGTGGTGGTCCAAGGATTTTATAAATTGCAGTCAAAAATCCCAGAATGCTGGCAGATGCTGAGTACTAGACTTTTAATAGACCAGAACCATTTTTATTTTTTTTGCAAAACACCTCAAACCAGACAGCTGACAAAGCAACATGATGGGCTTGGAATATGGCATTTCTTCAAAAATGTCAGAATATGACAAATGTTAAACTGCTAAAAGTTTGAATCACTATCCCCTATATTATGTAGTGCTTCTGGAACACATTTGTAATGTTACCTTCCAACTTCTATGCTTATGTCAGGCTTCTAAGAAACTCTCAGTGGGCCTGCTGATTGGAATCAGCGTGTAAAGATTTGAAGTGATCAACTTGATATATTTTTGCCTCTAAGGTTCAAATATAAAAGGGAGCAAAACAGTGTCTGTCTTACTTTCCAGCCATTTCTTTAGTGTTGCCAGCTTTTTTCTTTTTAACAGCAGCATGGATATTAGCTTGGATATGCAGATGTGTTATTAGCATTTATTTCCATGTTCTGGAAAATGTTACCTGTCAGTGGCAACAGATAGGAGCCACTCCTCAGTGCCGGATTTATGTATAGGCTAGGTAGGCTGAAGCCTAGGGCCTCTAAATCTAGGGGGCCTCACCAGCCCACCCGCTCCCCAGCAGGCAGTCTCCCCTCTCCCAAAATTGCAAACCTAAGACTTCATGCAAGGACAGGGCAACTTGGGCCCAGCAACTATGAGACTCAGGGCTAGCCAGTGGGGCCCAATTTGAAGCAGTGGGGCCCAACTTGATTTTTTTTTTGGTAGGGCCGCAGTTCACAGCCAAAGTCTGCAAAATCTTAGCGATATAAATAAAATCCATCTAGATTGCCCTGGTGTGGGGGCCCCTTAGGAGTAGATCGCAGGGCCCAATTTGGCCCAATTGCTCTAATTGCCTTAAGGTCAGCCCTGATGAGACTGTGCAGGGGTTGGACTGACAAACCCTGCACCTTCTAGGTCCCTAGTGTCACTATTCAGAGTACAGACTCAAGGACTTGTTATGGAAATAAGGGCCACTATTGGAAATCAGTTTTGTCACCTCTTCCCCCCCCCCAAGCCTCAGGTTGATGAGCCCAGGCATCTTTTATTCACAGTTGAATAAGCACTACACTACAGCATGGCCATAAACCTGTGCGTTCAACCGCTGAAATATACACCCAATATGTACCAATGGAAAATTACGTTACTGCTTTATGAATGAACACTGTGTTTTATGAATGGACTCTGTATTTTGTGAATTACCTAAGAGCCACCAACACGGAGCTCTAGAATCTGACAGCTAACCAATCAGGTATTACCAAACAGCGACTCCTGTTGCTGAATGCAGGTAACCAGCAGGAAACGCTTCATTTGCAAGGAATCGTGCAAAACAAAGTGGCACTAATAAAGAAAAGTTCCAGGGTAGCAACAGAAAGCAAACTAAAAATGCTTTTGCAGTTCATCAGAACTATCCAGCAATATCAAGTTATAGGAAAACTGGAGCTATTAACAGTAGCTCTTCTAGTTGGTTAATTGATTCGGCAACTTCCATGCACATGACGTGTGATGCTAATTTCCCCCACAAAGAGTTAAATGATAACTCATCAGAAGCAGCTAGAGTTGCAAATGGCAACAAAATATATGTGAAAGGAAGAGGAGGAGGTTTGCTCAAGTGTGTTGCAGGTTTGTTCAAGTGTGTTTGTAATGAAGTGAGAGCAGTAGTTTACTTGCTTGAATTAACAAATAAGAAAGTTTTGAGAATTTACATGCTAGATTAAAATTGATTAATTCATTGAGAAGGGGATTGTAAGAAAACACTGGGGCCTAGTTTGAATAGGTGCCTGGTATCTGGTGGGCAACCTCATCCTTTATTTCCACACTATGGCTGCAAACCAAATCACCCATCAGGAGAGCTATGAGATTCAGGTGAGGGTCATATGCCTTGTCAATCCCAGCAGGTATATAAGAAGCCTTTGCCCTGGCCAGGCCTTGCACCCCATAATTTTCCATCTAAGAATCCAGAGCCAGCAGGCCCAGAGTCAACAACCAGATGCACAGCCTTCCCTAGTTCAAGGGTCAGGTCAGTAGTGGTACATGCTGCACTTTAATCAGTGGAAGACTGCAAGTGGGGGGCCGGCTGGGGCTGATAGACCAGGCAGGCAAGCTCTCCCAAGTCTCTTCCATTCCTTCCTTCCTCCTTGGCTTGGACAGAGCAAGGCAAGCACATGTGCCTGGCACTGGCCTCTCCCCTTCCAGGCAGGGAAGTCTATCTTTCACACTTCACAGAGCCCTGTTGGTGCCTGCAGTATGCACTGTAAATTGCCCACAGGCAGAGAGAGTCCCTGGGGATCAAGGAAGGCAGTGGGTAGGGATCCTTGGAGGGATCCAGAACTACCTGTAGAAAGCAGGATGCTAGGTTGGTAACTGGATCTCATCCAGTATAGGGGTCAGTTCAGGGTCAGAGGAACTGTGTTTTGTCTTATTTTATTTATGCCCGGTGGTGTTTTCCTTTTCTATGTTTAAAGTGCCGTTTCAACATTTTCAACATTTACATGCAGCCACAGAGATCATCAGGAGGTTTGGGCTGGGTGTTCATCAGTATGCGGATGATACCCAGCTCTACCTCTCTTTTAAATCAGAACCAGTGAAGGCGGTGAAGGTCCTGTGTGAGTGCCTGGAGGCGGTTGGAGGATGGATGGCGGCTAACAGATTGAGGTTGAATCCCGACAAGACGGAAGTACTGTTTTTGGGGGACAGGAGGCGGGCAGGTGTGGAGGATTCCCTGGTCCTGAATGGGGTAATTGTGCCCCTGAAGGACCAGGTGCGCAGCCTGGGAGTCA